GTGGTTTAGCTCTGTGATCGGCAAACTGCAGCTTGCAAGCCACGTGCGGCTCACGAGCCACAGTTTGCCACTCTGTTGACTAATGAGTTTGCCGACCACTGTCATATACTACCCTTTACCTCTTTGCACACAATATGCCGCAATTGCCTAATCTTCACAGCTTCCAACTACATGGTAATATTTAGTCTAGTCCAATGGTAGGCAAACTCATTAGGCAACAGAGCAGCTAACGGCAGTTTTCGACCACCCATCTAGCTGATTGGGTCTGTGTGAGATGGGCCAGACACACCCTGGAGCCCTCCCAGGGTCCCTTCCCAGCACCAGTAGGGTCCCTCAGCCTGGCTTGCACCCTCTCACAATCTGGAACCCCTCAGGGGATGTCAGAGAGCCGGTTTCAGCCTGATCCCTGCAGGCCAAGTGAGAGACCACCAATGCACGAATCCATGCACCGGGCCTCTAGTATTATATAAATAGAACCATACAATATATAAACTTTTGAGATTGACTTGAGATCCTTTCAGGTTATGTGTATCAGTAGTTGCTTACTTTTTTTATCCTTTTTTACTGTTGACACTATAACAGGTGCTTACATCCCCGCCCTCATTTGCCCACCTCCACCCAGCCCTTACCCCAGCAGTTTTATTTCTCATATGTTTATTAAATACTTGTTATTCTTTGTAAATGCCATTTATATCTTTTTGTCCATTTGTCTATTGATGTCTTCTCCTTTTTCTCTTTGATTTCTTTACTAATCCTTTGTTAATTATATCACAATTACTTTCTCTAATTGTGACCCTAATTTGCTTATAGAATCCTTTGTCATACAGAAGCATTTATCCTTTATACAATCAAATCGATTCACCCCCCCCCCTTTTTTTTTTTTGCTTATGGATTTGCATTTTGCTTAGGAAGGCTCATGGGCATAAAATATTCTTTTGTATTTTCTTCTGATATTGAAAATATTTTGCCTTTGTTTAGCTCTATATTCCATTTGGATTTTGTGTGTTTTTTTGTGGGCTGAGTGAGGTAGAGATCTAGCTGTTTTTTTTCAAAGTTAATAGACATTTTCCCCTGACATTTTTATTAAACAACCCATCAGTTCCACACTGATCTGAAATGCCATCTCTATCATATCTGAAGTTACTATACATTCTTGGGTCGTATCTCAACTGTCTGTATTGTTCCTTTGACCTTTATCCATTCTTATACCAAAACTCGTGTTCTATTTACTTTATCTTTATTGATAAGAAATTTAAAATTTTTGCTTTGGTTTTTTTTTTTTTTTTTTTGAATGATTATGAGTTTGTTTATTTTGATGCACCATCTATCTCAGATTTTGCTAGTGGATCCTCTGCAAGCTCGTGCCTTTGTCCTTTTGACATGTCCCCATCATTCTTTGAACTTATCTTTTACACAACAAGACGTTCCAGGCACATCCTATTCGTCACTGCCCCAGCTTCCCAATCAGTCATATCTCAACAAGCCTTGGTGGAGAAGAATTGTTTTAATAGAGATACGATCTCATGTTTATAAAAGGAATGATTTAGGAGCGTGGGGGAAATATGGTGAGATAGGAGAATTACTGGAATGATGTCCTTGAGAAGGTGAGAGGAGCTAAAATTTAGTTTCTAGAGGGGGTGGCCTTAGCATAGGAGCCCAGACAGGTTTTTTCCATAATAAAGGCAAAGGCAGAGAATATGGTCACAAATGCTATGAGGTGAGCAGATCTCGTAGTGGGAGCTTATGGACATGCTCTTGTTGGTTTTTTAAAATTTTCTCATTGAAATAGATAAAAAGCCATAATCTGAGCATGAGTTTGGGAAGGAAGTGGGCATTAAAAGTTTGAGGAAAGCTCAGGTGGCATGGTCAGTGTTTGAGCTTAGACCTATAAACCAGAAGGTCATGGTTCAATTCCCAGTCATGGCACATGCCTGGGTTGCAGGCTCGATCCCCAGTGTAGGACATGCAGGAGGCAGCTGATCATTGATTCTCTCCCATCATTGATGTTTCCATCTCTCTCTCCCTCTCCCTTCCTCTCTGAAATCAAAGAAAAGTTGGAAGAAAGAGGCAGAGCTATAAAATAATTTTCTAGGAGAATGAACAGTAGTAAGATTGCCAAACAGCATTAAGTACCTACTTGAAATTCTTATTCTAAAGAACTCACCTCTTTGTTGAATTTGGTGCTTATATTTTTCTAAACTTATGTTTTTTTTCCATAGATTTTTGTTTCCCTATGGATGTAATCCATTGGTTTCTGTTCCTTCGGAAATTCTCCACCATTTATGATTTGTGGATGGCACTCTCTTTTAGTTTACTGTAGTATTAGAGTGGATATATATATATTCCTTATTATCGTGTTGATTTAGTCTCTTAGAATTTTTTATCTGCATTAATAATGTGGATTAACATTATAAGAGAAAGGTGACTTTTTGTTGTTAATGTTTGGTATTGACAAGGAGAAGAAGGGGTTTTTGTTGATAGTCTTTAGAAGCAGTGATAGAACTGACCAGTTTGCAGACTTTGGATGTGTCAGGAGTCAATAAAATATTATGCATTAACTGTTTTCACAGATAAATCTATATATTAGCATATCTGAGTTATCTATATATAAAATCACTCTGGAGATGGTGGTTCTTAGCAATTCCTATTTTTCTACTGTTTCTTAGCTGATCTCAGTGGAATAATTTTCAACTCTACTTTCTTTTTTATAAATGTGTTTTTATTAGAGAGAGGGGAAGGGAGAAGGATAGAGAGATAGAAACATCCATGAGAGAGCAACATCAATCGGCTGCCTCCTGCACGCCCCCCACTGGGGATCCAGCTCACAACCTTGGTGAGTGCCCTGTCTGGGAATAAAACAGGGACCTCCTGGTTCATGGGTCAACAACACTCAACCACTGAGCCACACCAGCCAGGCGGCTCCACTTTCTTAATCACAATATCTTTACACTTCAGACTTGGTGATTTTAATTCTAACATGGAAAGGTGGTTACTGAAGATAACAGTGCCTTTTAGGTGTTTACTTTGTCTCTCGTTACATCTCTATTGTTCTGTGTGGGGGTTTTTTGTGGGTTTTTTAATATATTGCTTTCAGAGAGAAAGGGAGAGGGAGAGAGATACAAACATCAATGATGAGAGGGGCACGTGGCTTGGTTGCCTCCTGCATGCGCCCCAACTAGGGCTAGGGATCATGCCTGCAACCGAGGTTATATGCCTTTGACTGGAATCGAACCCTGGACCTTTAAGGCCTCAGGCCGACGCTCTATCCACTGAGCCAAACGAGCCAGGGCTTTTCCACTATTTTTAAGACAGTACAGAAACTATATGAAGAATAGACGAAGTTTTGTTGATGTTTATAATGCTGTTATCAGTTGGCCAGAGAATCTGCAAGTTCAGTTTATTGAGAAACATCTGTGGGCTTACTATGTGTGAGTATGATTAAAACAATCAAGTTTATTCTGATAAGGAGGGTTTTACTGTAACATGAGACCATTTTTCTGAAGCATTCTAACGGAGTAAATCTTACAGTCAGTGGACTGACCCCGAGAAGCAAGCAAGCCACCTCATTTCATCTTCACCATAACTTCCTTTATAATGCCGCTAATTCCATTAAATGAAAATCTTTGTGTAAAAATTGAGAAAGTTATGACTGGTTTCTTTAGAAAGAGTGATTCTGGCTTTCAGGGCATTAAACCATTTATGTAAAAATGCTACTTAGCACAATAGTGGTTTTATGTGAAATTACTGTACTGTAATTGAAGGGAAATTGGTCTAAGTAGTGGGTGTGTTTCCTGAACATTGTCAAAAAAAAATGTTCGCAAGAGGCACACATTAGTCATTTGGATTGATTTACGGGGACATTATTCAGCCTTCTCCCCCTTGAATGTAAATTAGGTAAAGCATGGAACATGTTGAAAGAATGGGGACCTTTCTAGTTGGTCTCATTCTCAAAGGAAGGAACCAGCCTGTAAAATAGCACAGCTGAAATCTTCAATTTGGCTGATGGGTGGAAGGAGATAAGAGAAAGATTACCTGTGGATTACTGCTATACAAAGTACTTAAGGAAAAGGCAAACTATTATTTCTGGGGGATAGTACGAACGGTATTTTTTTTTATTTTATCATACTATACATTTTACATTTTCAGCTCTTATGTGTACAATTTTGATTACTTGGACTTCATACTGATTGCTAGTGTTAGGACGCAGAACCGGTTTTTATACCACAACTTAACTATCCTGGATGCTGAAATTTTGCTAAGTGCCTCTGTAGTTAGGAAAATGGGTTTGTGTAATTTTTCAAGGTTATTTTGGTGTGCTATTTTTGATCCTTTGGGTATGTGAAACTTACCTTTCACTCGCATTCATAAATGCAATATAATTTGGGTAGAAAAAGTATCAGATTGCAACCTTTTCTTTCCTTCTACAAGATATTTTGTGCAGCCCTGGCCAGGTAGTCCAGTTGGTTAGTTGTCCCAATACGGTAGTTGTGGGTTTGGTCCTGAGTCAGGGCACATACAAGAACCAACCAGTGAATACATAAATAAGTAGAACAACAAATTGATGTTTTTCTCCCCATCTCTTAAAGCAATCAATCCTTTTTTTTAACTATAAAGAAATATATTCTGCCTCAACTGGCATGGCTCAGTGGTTGAGCATCAACCTATGAACCAGGAGGTCACTGTTCAATTCCTGGTCAGGGAACATGCCCTGGTTTTGGGCTCATTCCCCAGTAGGGGGCGTGCAAGAGGCAGTCTATTGATGATTCTCTCTCATCATTGAAGTTTCTACCTCTGTCTCCATCTCCATTCTACTCTGAAATCAATAAAATACAGATTTTCTTAAATGTGAGGTAAACATACAAAAGTGTAGATGCTCTTCCTGGTTATTGAATTAACCAAAATGTGGAATATAACATGCATGTTTTCTGAAATAACACCAAATTTCATCTTTAGCCTGAAGTTTGCTGTTAACCTAAGTTTTGTTTCTATACTATTCACAGCCTGTATCCCAACCAGTTGCAGCTGATCAACAAGCAGCAATTCTACAATCGGATTTAGTACGAAGGTGAGTGTCTTCAAATTTAATACCATGGAAATGATAAGGGTATGTTGAAGTATTTGCAATCATTAAGGGCCCATTGTATCATGACTGGAGGAAATTTTGTGTTCTTGAATTTATGTGTACGTTCAATACAGATGGTAGGTATTGTTTTTTACTTTTTTATTTTAATGAAGCTCATGTATTGTGAAAATTATTGACCATTTTCTTGCTCTCATAACATTTCTGTTTCTAAGAAAAACTTAGAAGAACTAATAAAGAAAAGAAATAATATAGAATAAAATTCCAGCTAATGTAAAGAAATAAATTATGAGATATATAATTGTGCTATTATTTGGTAGTTGTAAACTAATGTTTTACTGTGTTATTCAGATTGGCTAATTCCTATTACTCTGTTTTCAAGTTCACTGAGTCTTTCTTTTGTCCTATTCATTCTGCTATTATGCCCATTCCAATGCATTGTTTTTCTGGGGTTGTACTTATAGTTCTATAATTTCCATTTTGATCTTTTTTAATATCTTCTATTTTTAATGAAATCTTTAAATTTTTTAATGTGCTTCAAGAGTATTTGTAATTACTTATTGAATCATTTTGCTTTAAAATCCTTGTCAGTTACTTCCAATATCTTATTCATTCTGGTGCTGGTCTCTGTTAACTGTCTTTCTGCATTCAAAGTGTGATTTTTCCAGGTTTTTGGTATGACAGGGAATTTTCATTTGTCTTCTGGACCTTTGGATATTATTTCAGAAGACTCTGGACTCTCTTTAAATATTGTAGTTTATGCCAAAACCGGTTTGGCTCAGTGGATAGAGCGTCGGCCTTCGGACTGAAGGGTCCTAGATTCAATTCCGGTCAAGGGCATGTACCTTGGTTGCGGGCACATCCCCAGTATGGGGTGTGCAAGAGGCAGCTGATCAATGATTCTCATCGACGTTTCTAGCTCTCTATCTCTCTTCCTTCCTCTCTGTAAAAAATCAATAAAATATATATATATTTTTTAAAAAAGTTGCTTCTGTGCTTTTAATTACTAGTTCGCAGCAAGACGTGGCAGCTGTGAAGGATAACAACAACACCGCTGATAACCCAAGTGGAAATGGCAAACAGGATCGGACCAAACAGAGAAGAGTGTCCTGTCCTCGCCCAGAGAAGGCGACCAAGTTCCAGCTTACTGTCCTGCAGGTCAGTGTGTAAGCACGGGCGGGCTACCTGCGCATAGAGGTCTGGGGAGTCAGGGAGCGGCAGTGTTACTATGCAAGCGTGGGATTGTGAGACTCTCTAAATTAACCTTTCCTTCATTAAAAGTTTTTAATAATGAGAGCATCATGTATTGTTAAACATGGGAAATATAAGGAAAATAAAAACCACTTGTGGTGCCCTCACTGGTTCTGTTCAGTGGATAGAGCATCAGCCTGTGGAGTGAAGGGTCCCAGATTCAATTCCGGTCAAGGGCACATGCCCGGGCTAGGAGCTCAATTCCCATGGAGGGCATGCAGGAGGCAGCCGATCAATGATTCTCTCTCATCACTGATGTTTCTATCTCTCTCTCCCTTCCTCTGTGAAATCAGTAAAAATATGTGTTTTTAAAAATTACTTGTACTCTCTTATATAATACCTCTTAATGTTTTAGTTTGTTTCATCTCTTTTATTCTGTATGTATGTATCACCTTTTACATTAAGATGGTAATAATACCAGTAATAGTGAAAATGTGTTGAACTATTTTTTGGTAGACACCCCAAATGTTACATATTTACTTTGTCATTTAATCCTTTGATAATCCTATGTGATACCCTGTTTCCCCCAAAATAAGACAGTGTCTTATATTAATTTTTGCTCCCAAAGATGTGCTAGGTCTTATTTTCAGGGCATGTCTTATTTTTCCATGAAGAAGAATACGGTACACATTTATTGTTAAATGAAAATAAAGGCAGTTTATTACCTGAATACGGTACGGTAGTACGGTAGTTGTCAACACAAATCAGACAAACTGTGAATCCTACAGTATCAAGAATTTACTCATTTATTCAATGACAATCATGTCATCATCTTCTGGAACATCATCATAACAATCCAGTTTCTGAATTTCCTGGTGAATTTCTTGTGACCCCATTTCTTTCAGGATCAGTGGACCAAATCTCTCATGTTTAGCCTGGGGGTAGGGGGGGCTTATTTTTGGGGGATGCCTTATATTTCACTCAGAAGGAAACCTGTAAGTAGGTCTTATTTTCGGAGGATGTCTTATTTTCGGGGAAACACGGTATTTGGTAGTATACTTATCTTTACAAATGAGAATTAGGTTTAGTAATTTGCCCAAGGTCATTCGACTAGCAAGCCATAGTCAGACCTGAATCCAGATAAGACTGTAACCCCATATTTCTAATCAATAAAGTATAGGTTTTGGATGGATGCTAATACTTATCCTGCCATATATATATATATATATATATATATATATATATATATATATATATATAAATTTTTACAGAGAGGAAGGGAGAAGGATAGAGAGCTAGAAATATCCATGAGAGAGAAACATCGATCTGCTGCCTCCTGTACACCCCGCACCAGGGATGTGCCTGCAACCAAGGTACACGCCAACATTGCTCAGTGGTCAAACGTCAATCTGTGAACCAGGAAGCAACAGTTCTATTCCTGGCCAGGGCACATTCCCGGGTTGCAGGTTCAATCTCCAGGAAGGGGTGTGCAGGAGGCAGCCAATCAAGGATTCTCTCTCATCATTAATAATTATCTCTCTCTCTCTCTCTCTCTCTCTCTCTCTCTTCCTCTCTGAAATCAATTTTAAAATATTTTTAAATTTTTAAAGAGAGTTTTGGAAATCAATGACCAAATTTAGCATTGTACATAGTGATACTATTTTATTTTTTTAAAATATTTTTAATTGATTTTGTACAGGGAGGAAGGGAGAGGGATAGAGAGTTAGAAACATCGATGAGAGAGAGTCATCGATCAGCTGCCTCTTGCACACTCCCTACTGGGGATATGCCCGCAACTAAGGTACATGCCCTTGACTGGAATCGAACCCGGGTCCCTTCAGTCCCCAAGCCGACGCTCTATCCATTGAGCCAAACCGGTTTCGGCGATACTGACTATTATAACTTGTTTTTGCCTTGTTATAAAAGATCTGTTTTCACCTGGCTGGGGTGGGTCAGTGATTTGAGTGTCGACCCTTGAACCAAGAGGTCACCGGTTCAATTCCTGATCAGAGCATATGCCAGAGTTGTGAGCTTGATCCTCTGTAGAGGGTGTGCAGGAAACAGCTCACCGATGGCCCTGTTCAAATCTATGTTTCTCTCTCTCCCTCTCTTTAAAAATCAATTTAAAATCTTTAAAATATATATATTTCTTGCCCTAGCCACTTTGGCTCAATAGATAGAGTGTTGGCCCATGGACTGAAGGCTTCCGGGTTCAGTCTAGTCAAGGGCATCTACCTTGGTTGCAGGCTTGATCCACAGCTTGGTTAGGCCACATGTGGGAGGCAACCAATCGATGAGACTCTCTCGCATCAATGTTTCTCTTGGGTGAGGATTAGCAATATATATATATGCCAATATATAATTATTTTTTAAAAATGCCATTTGCATTTTGATGGAGATCACATTAAATCTGTATATTGCTCTGGGTAAGATAGCCATTTTAACTATGTTGATTCTTAATCTGGTGGTGAAATGTTTGTGCCCAGGTGTCAACCTCTGGAGACAACATGGTAGAGTGTCAGCTGGAGACACACAATAACAAGATGGTCACCTTCAAGTTTGATGTTGATGGTGATGCACCCGAGGATATTGCAGACTATATGGTAAGTACAGTAAAACCAAATGATTCTTCTTTCAGTGTTCTCTCTTTTTTTCCTGTGACTCTTCCCCCATTTATTCAGAGTCATCTTGTTCTTAGGATACTCTTTTTAAAATTTGTGCAGAGCTAAATTGGTTATGATCAAGAGAGAGCCAGTGCACCTCCTCTGGTTTCAGTTTCTTTATTTATTTATTAATATATTTTATTGATTTTTTACAGAGAGAAAGGGAGAGAGCTTAGAGAGCTAGAAATGTTGATGAGAGAGAAACATCGACCAGCTGCCTCTTGCACACCCCCTACCAGGGATGTGCCCGCAACCAATGTACATGCCCTTGACCGGAATCGAACCCGGGACCTTTCAGTCCGCAGACCTACGTTCTACCACTGAGCCAAACCGGCTTTGGCTGGTTTCAGTTTATTTATCTGCAAAATATGAAGGTGTTTCATTGAGAGATGTTTTAGGTCAATGGTTCTTTATCCCGGGCTGCATGTTAAAATCACCTGAAGAGGTTTTTTTAAAAAACAATTCCCTAGGTCCTTAATTAAATCAGTGTTTGGAGGTGAGGCCTAAGCATCAATCCTATATAATAAAACCCTAATATGCAAATTAACTGAACTGCAGAACAACTGGTCTCTATGATGCACACTGACCACCAGGGGGCAGCTCCTGTGTTGAGTGCCCCCTGGTGGTCAGCACTGCTCAGCCAGAAGCCCGGGATATCCACCTGCCAGGAAGCAGGCCTTACCCAGCAGACTGACATCCCCCGAGGGCTCCTGGACTGTGAGAGGGCACAGGCAGGGCTGAGGGCGCTGCCGCGCCGCCTCCTCCCCCCCCCCCCCCCCAGTGCACAAATGTCATTCACCATGCCTCTAATAGTTTATAAAGTTCACCAGAATTTAATCTCCTTCCCAGGAGCATGCCTGTGCACACAAAACCTGCATACACCAGCTTCTTTCCCCACAGGCATGCCTCTCTTAAACTTTAAGGGACCCATGAGGTTTGCAACCAGAGCAGCAATGGGCAGTGGCGGCCATACCCGGCAGACACCCCGAGCCTGTCCCCAAGGTCCCCTTTTCCCTGACTTTTTAGTGAGCCTAAGTAACCCAGTCTAGGCTCATTTCCCCAGCCCTTCCTTGTTTCACTGTCCCCAGCTTAAATAAGTAAAAAAAGTTCACCCGTTAATTCTGACGTGTTAGCTACTGATATAACGTGTTATATTTCAGTGTTTAAGTAATGTTTGTTATATCATTTAATTTTCTTATTTTTCTTGAATGGTTAGGCTTAAGTTAGTATTTTCCCATTTGTTTGTTTGTTTGTTTATTATTTTTTAAAAGAATGAATTATTGGTTTTTAAAGAGAGAGGAAGGGAGAAGAGAAAAACAGCATAACATTCATCAGCTGCCTCCTGCACGCATCCAGGATATGTGCCCCGATTGGGAATCAAACCAGAAACTCTCGGAGCTTGCGATGACATTCCACTGTGTCACACTGTAGAGGGCATATTTTTCCATTTTTTAAAAATGGGGATGTGCCCGGCTGGTTGTGGCTCAATGGAACAGGAGGTCAGGGTTCAATTCTGATCAGGGCACATGCACCACTGCAGGCTCGAACCCCAATAGGAGATGTGCAGAAGGCAGCTGAACAGTGATGCTCTCTCATTATTGATGTTTCTCTCTCTCTCTCTCTCTCCCTTTCCCTTCCTCTCTGAAATCAATAAAAAATATTTTTTTAAATAAAAATAAAAACCTATTTTTTAAAAATGGGGATGGGCTAAGGCAGTGGTCGGCAAACTCATTAGTCAACAGAGCCAAATATCAACAGTACAACGATTGAAATTTCTTTTGAGAGCCAAATTTTTAAATTTAAACTTCTTCTAACGCCACTTCTTCAAAATATACTCTCCCAGGCCATGGTATTTTGTGGAAGAGCCACACTCAAGGGGCCAAAGAGCTGCAAGGGGCTTGCGAGCCACAGTTTGCCGACCACAGGGCAAGGGTGACAGAAAGAGTACACATGCTTTTGTTTCTGCCAGTTTTCTTTAGAGATATATTCCTGGCCATTGCCTCAGTTGTATCCTTCAAATGACAATCAATTTATAGAATGCCAGATAGTTTTCAAATGCTGGCTTCTTCTTCTCTCCTCTGTAATGCCAACCTGACAAATGATAGTGGTCTCAAAATAGAACTAATAATTTAATACCTGGTCTTTTTTAATTCTGTTGCGGCATTTGGATGTAAATAATAGATTTTAATTTATTTTTCTTCCGGGTAGTAACCATTGATAGACATAATATTATCATTTGGAAGACATTAAATCCATTCTCGTAATTGGCTTACTTTTACTTTTGGACAGGTTGAAGATAACTTTGTGCTGGATAGTGAGAAAGAAAAATTTGTCGAGGAATTGAGGGCTATTGTCAGTCAAGCCCAGGAGATCCTTCACGTGCACTCTGCTGCAGACAGAGCCAGTGGAGTTGACGCTGTCGCCGTAGAACCCAACAGTGGCCAAGTAAGAGCAATTATTTAGCAAATAGGTCTTCTAGGATATGCGTCAGAAACTTCTTTATTTACCTATTCATTTTTAATTCAGACAGGGTCATCTGAACCAGCCCAGATAAATTCTGCATCCACTCAAACCAGCAGTAAGTATATTTAATACAATTTGCCAGTTGGCATTTGAAACAAGACATTTGGAGACTTGAATTTACACATCTTCATTGAGAAAGATGTTAGCCAATAAAGGAATTAGATAAGTTGTTAATGTAGGATTTCCCACACTCTGAAAGAACTTGATAGCCCAGAAGAAAGTAGAATAAGAAGTAAAACTATTCTCCAAATCTCCTTCAAGTGTTGGTTATTTATCTGGTTCACTTATTTCTGAGTTGCTGTATGGTATGCTACCAGAAAAGCAGTCATGGTACTGATGATCTTTAACGGTTTTATTATTTGAACTTGACTGCTATGTCCGCCCCCCCCAACCCCCCCCCACCACGTGAGGTGTGCATAAACGTTCTTAACTTAAAATCATTATGTTCAAAATTTCCCTCGTGTTTTAATAGTCATTGATATGATTTCATTCCACTAGTGATAAGCTTCTCCTTGCTCTGATCACTAAAGTTTTTGTAAATCAGGTACCAGATAAACTTCCAGGGACTAAGTGGGGGAGGGGGCAGTTCTGTTTTCTCTGAAGATTTTCCCTCTCCATTCTTCTCAGCTCCGGTCATGGGTATATTTAGAGTATCTGGGAGGGGGAGAAAAGCCATAGACAAATGAGGGCCTCTGAAGGAATTATAACGACACGAAGAAGCAACAGGTGGTGTGCGAGTTATGGAACCAGATAGCATTACCCTGAAATTCAGCTTGTGTTGGAATGCGGGGGTCCTCCTCTACCTTCTTTTTCTCATTAGCAGGAGTCCGAACAGGTTTCTGGCTGGCACACTAGGGTAACGTTTAATAGAGAATTACTTATTACAGGAAGTTGGCAAAGTAGGGGTAAAGATGCAGGGGCTTATTTTACTTTATTTTTTGAAGTTGTCATACAGTGACATTGACTTTTTTCTTTTGGTATACAGTCCTGGAAGTTGTATTACTTAGTGTAGATTTCTATAAGCACCATAATCAGGATACAGAACAGGAAATGTAGGCCTTAATGGTAAAAGTACTTCCTCTCCCCCCCCCCCCAGAAAAAGTGCCCGGCTTCTAACTACTAGTGATATGTTTGTTTCAGAAGAATCTAAAATCTTTCTCTGAAGTCATCCTATGTTTAATTCTTTTTAAAACAATTTTTAAGTTTTTATTGATTTTAGAGACAGAGGAAGGGAGAGGGAGATCGAACTATGAATGTTAGAGAAACATCCATCAGCTGCCTCCTGCCCACCCACTACTGGGGATTGAGTTTGCAACCCAGGCATGTGCCCTGACCGGGAAATGACCTCTTGGTGCATGGGACAAAGCTCAACCAACTGAGCCACACCGGCTGTGCTATTCTTTTTTTGTTGTTGTTAATCCTCACCCGAGGATATTTTTCCATTGATTTTTGAGAGAGTGGACGGGAGTGGGGAGAGATAGAGAAACATCGATGTGAAAGGGACAAATTGGTTGCCTCCCGCACACATCCTGACCAGGGCTGGGGACCTAGCCTGCAACTGAGGTATGTGCCCTTGACTAGAATCAAACCCGGGACCCTTCAGTCTGAAGGCCCACGGTTCACCCACTGTGCCAAACCAGCTAGGGCAGGGCTGGGCTATTCTTAATTCTTGAGAATATTTTTCAGGATTGGGGAGAAGGTCTGGTCTCATAAATTGCACACATCCTAGTGTTGTTGGAAATGGAGGTACAAGAAAAATTGGTGTTTTAACCTGGTTTCCTTAGTCAGTAAGGTAAACATGCTGACAGTTGCTTAGCATATTAAATTTTCCACAGATGAATCCGCTCCTCAGTCATCCCCAGTTGGTCGGTGGCGATTCTGTATCAATCAAACGATAAGAAACCGTGAGGCTCAATCTCCTCCTTCTCTTCAGCAGTCCATATCTACAGTGCCTGGGCTATATCCACTTTCTAGTAAGCATTTATTCTCTGCCAACTTTATCCAGATTTGGAGGATAGGGGTGCAACATATGAACCGGATCTTTTTTCTTTTTAAGGTTTTTTAATTTGCTTTTTAGAGAGAGAGGAAGGGAGAGGCGGAGAGAGGGAGAGAGAGAGGAAGGGAGAGGCGGAGAGAGGGAGAGAGAGAGAAACTTCGATGTGAGAGTGAAACATCAATCACCTGCCTCCTACTCAACCCCTACTGGGAATGGAGCCTGCAACCCAGGCATGTGCCCTGACCAGGAATCAAACCTGCAACCTCTCGGTGCACAGGATGACGCCCAGTGAACTGAGCCACACTGGCCAGGGCCGGACCATATTTTTAACTTGTCTGCATGCGCAATTTTCTCACATAATTATTTTGGAAGATGTTAATACCGGTTACACTTAAGCCATTTTTATTGAATTTTTTTTTTTAAAAAAAAAGAAAAGGTTTTCTTTTCCTTCACAGGTAGAATTGTATATTCTGAATCCTTTTTACAAAAGTACCTTCACACACGTTCTCGTTTGCCCCTTGATCTGCCTGTCCCCTTTGAGTTTGCGTAGTAGTCCATGCTTTGTGCTTACCAATACACGCTTACCCATTCTTTGTTATTGTTCCAGGTCCAAGGAAAACAAATAATAAGGAAATGTCACAGGACACACTGCTCACTCCAGAAAATGATCCATGCCAGCCTGCACTTTTAACCTCAGAACACAAGGATGTGGTCGACGGTAAGAGCTCTGAATGTGCCAGTGTAGAAACGAAGCAGCCAGCTGTAGTCCATCAAGCGGAAGAGGACAGCCATAGAATGGCACCAGGTGTAAGTAGTTCTACTTACACTGCTTCTTCAGTTCCTGCAGTCCCAGTGAAATGTGAGGGACCCACCAACGAAGCAGGAACATTCCTGCCTGTGCTTCCCTGTCACCAAGCTGCCAGTCAGGCTAATGTACTCACGGCACCTCCTGGCGAGTCAACTCCAATTGCTGGTAACTCTCTTGAAACGTCAACATTGCTGTCCGATCAGAGGCCTCAGTCCTTAGCAGTGCAGCAGCCAACTACGGATGCAGAGTTGATTTCCCAAGAAGGAGAGAAAACCACAGCGAACACTGAAGCAAGTTCTCCTAAGAAGGTCATCCCCACTCAGACCCCTGGCCACGAACCGTCTCCCCTTCTATCCGCTACTGTCCTGGAATCAGATGGGGAGAGACCTCCCAAAATGGAGTTTGCAGATAACCGAATTAAAACCCTGGATGAAAAACTAAGAAACTTGCTCTATCAGGAGCACAGCCTGACTAGCATCTACCCTGACAGCCAGAAGGACACGCAGAGCATAGACTCTCCATTTGCTTCCTGTGCTGAAGATCCGCTCCCGGGCCCAGTGCCGGAAGTCATAGCCATCAGCCACTGTGGCGTTCAAGACAGTCCTGCACAGTCCCCTGGTTCCCAGCAGACGGGCCCTAAGGTTCTGTCCAATGTGGCTGCCAGTCAGCCTGCTAACATATCAGTGTTCAAAAGTGACCTGAATGTGATTACTTCTGTGCCCAGCGAATTATGTTTACATGTAAGTATGACTCTTTCTAAACAACTCCTTATCCTTGTGCTTTTAAAAAATGCATTCTTTAAAAACACATGCTTTTATGGAGAGGAAGGGAATGGGAGACAGAGATAGGAGCTTCAATGATGAGAGAGAATCGTTGATCAGCTGCCTCCTGCATACCCCCTACCGGGGACCAATGGAACCGTGATTTCCTGGTTCATAAGTCAACCCTCAACCACTGAGCTACACCAGCCAGGCAAAACATTCTTTGCTAAAGTTCTATCCTTCGGAATGGTAATTGTCTGTGTCACAAGATTCTGAGGGCACAGGTATTTCAGAAGGCCATCTTAGTTGCAGGTGGCCAGAGATGGCAGACCTACTTATGGTAAGAGCGCCCTCTGGTGAATTAGTTAGGAACTTGCAAGCCAAATCTGTTTTGTATTAATAACAAGAACAGGGCTCATTGATTTTGTGGGTAGGAAGAACTTACTTTTAGATTTACAGTTAAAAATGTCTGTTGTTAGTTTCCTTTTCAAGAATTTTATGGTATTAACATAATCTTGTTTTTGTGGGGTTTCATTTATTTGAAATTTTTCTTTATAAGAAAAGTAAAAAATCACACAATCTCATGACTTTCTTTTTTAGGTTACATAATGTACCAGTTTAATTTCCCTTTTCTGTCTCTTTAAATCACAGAAGTAATCATTATCTGATGTTTACCTACTATTTGGTACTTAAGTTAGCCCTTCTTTTTTTAAAAATCATTGTTGAAAGTATTACATATGTCCCCTTTCCCTCTAACCCCCATTGACCCCTTCCAGCCCTCCCCTGTGCCACTCCCCCACCTGCCCCGGGCCTTCACCACCCTATTGTCTGTATCCATGGGAAAGTTCTTTGGGTGCTTTTTGGTGGGTACTTAACCCTTCTTGACTTCAGCTTACACGCATCTATTTTCACACCTGGAATTTTTCACTCACAAAAATAGGATTGTGCTATATACATATTGATCTGCAACTTTATTTTTTCAATTTATAGTAGAGTATAGCCATGTTTCTAAATCTTTACCACTGTATCTATTGCTTTTATTATTATATTTAAGTAGCATTTGTGTGTATATATAGAGTAAAATCCATCCCACTTCCAAACCTATAGACATAGCTGTAAATAAATCTTTTCAGACATGTTTTAATTGACATACACATATTTGTTGACATATTTCATTATATATGTCATATATTTATAAGACATGGATACATATTATTTATACATATACTAGAGGCCTGGTGCACCACTGAGGTCCCTCAGCCTGGCCCGTGAGAATTGGGCCAAAACCGGCTCTCTGACTTCCCCTGAGGAGTCCCAGATTGCGAGATGGTGCAGGCCGGGCCGATGGACCCCACCGGTGTACGAATCTGTCCATCAGGCCTCTAGGCTGCATATAAGATCTTTGGTTATCTCTTCCCATCCTCCCCCCTTCCCTCCAAGATTCATCAGTCTGTTCCATGTTTTCATGGCTGTGCATTGAGTGTCTGCCCCCTGGTGGTCATTGTGTGTGTTGTAGCTACCGGCTGGTTGAATGGTCACTTAGGCTTTTTTATAAATACACACTTCTTTTTTTATGTTTTTATTGATGAGAGAGAGAGAGAGAGAGAGAGAGAGAGAGAGAGAGAGAGAGAGAGAGAGAGAGATAGATAGATATCGGCTGCCTCCTGCACCCAATACTAGGGACCAAGCCCGAAACCCAGGCTTGTGTCCTGACCTAGAATCGAACTGGTGGCCTTTTGTTGTATAAGGTTACCCTCAACTAATTGAAGTCATACCAGACAGGGAGGGCTACATATACTTCTTTACATGGGTGGACTGGTTTGCATTTCTTAACAATATATTTTTACTGATTTCAGAGAGTTAAGGGGGAGAGAGATAGAAACATCAATAATGAGAGAGAATCATTGATTGGCTGCCTCTTACATGCCCCACACTGGGGACTGAGCCCACAATCCAGGCATGGGTCCTAACCGGGAACCAAACCATGAGATGTCAGCTGAAACCAGTTTGCCTCAGTGGATGGAGTGTTGGCCTGCGGACTGAGGGGTCCCGGGTTCGATTCCGGTCAGGGGCATGTGCCTTGGATGTGGGCACATTCCCAGTGTGTGTGTGGGGGGGGGGGTGCTGATCGATGTTTCTCTCTCATCAATGTTTCTAGCTCTCTGTCTCTATCTCTCTCCCTCTCTGTAAAAAATCAATAAAATATATTTTTTTAAGACACAAACCTGTGACATCCTGGTTTACAGGTCGATACGCAACCACTGAGCCACACTGGCCGGGTGGATTGCATTTTTCCCGTTATTTTGTACTATTCATATCAGTACACATAGTTCCACCTCACTTAAATTTTTAGAGCAATAGTAAAATATTTTATTGAATAGATATAATTTAAATATTCATTTTTTTGTAGATAGTAATTTTAAATTACTCAATACATAAACATGAAAGCAATTCAGAAGAATAGAGAATTTAAAGTAATTGTTTTGTTAACACCCTCCATTCCCCCATTGCACTCCCCAAACACAGGTAAGTTCCTGATTTGGGGGTTTTATTTTTTAATATATTTTTATTGATTTCAAAGAGGAAGGGAGGGAGGGAGTTAGAAGCATCAGTGATGAGATAAAGCCATCAATCAGCTGCCTCCTGTATGCACCCCCCCCCCCTCCACACTGGGGATCAAACCCACAACCAGGTATGTGCCCTGCCTGGGAATCAAACCCTGACCTCCTGGTTCATAAGCTAATGCTCAAAACCTGAGCCAAACTGGCTGTTCTAAGATCCTGTTTTATTTTTTTGTTTTTTAAATATATTTTTATGTATTTCAGTGAGGAAAGGAGAGGAAGAGAGATAGAAACATCAATGATGAGAGTGAACCATTTATCGGCTGCCTCCTGCACTCCCCCTACTGGGCATTCAGCTCACAACCTGGGCATGTGCCCTTGACTAGAATCCCAGCCCACAGGCTGACACTCTATCCACTGAGTCACACCGGCTAGGATCTACATTTCTGTTTTAATTCTTGTGCTCATTGGCCTTAATAACTAGTAAATAATATACTTATTTATTTTTTAATTTAGTAATTTCAAACAGTACTTATTGGCTTACTGCTATGAAGGGTGAGGAAATTATACTTTTTCTTTCCTCCGTTTTTATTAATTATACTAGAGGCTTCCAATTTTTATTAATTATACTAGAGGCTCGATGCATGAAGATTCGTGCAAGAATGGAGCTTCCTTCCCATGCTGCCCAGAGGCCCGGAGCAGCTGGGGTGGTGCTGAATGCCTGCGTCATCACCATGGCAATGACACAGCATCCTGCCCCACCCCCAGCCGCTCAGTGCCTGTGTATGCAAATTAACCCACCATATTTCTTAGGTTAATTTGCATCCTCACTCCTGATTGGCTGGTGGGAGTTGCAAAGGTACAGTCAATTAGCATGTTACTCTTTTATTAGGTAGAGTCCCGGTGCATGAAATTCCTGCACAGGGGTGTGTGTCCCTCAGCCCAGCCTGCACCCTCTCCAATCTGGGATCCCTCTCACAATCCAGGACTACTGGCTCCCAACTGCTCACCTTCCTGCCTTCCTGATTGCCTCTAACCACTCCCCTGCCAGCATGATTGATGCCTAATTGCTTCCCTGCCAGCCTGTTTGACCCTAACTGCCCTCCCCTTCAGGCCTGGTCACCCCTAACTGCCCTCCCCTGCAGGCTTGGTCCCCCCCAACTGCCCTTCCCTGCAGGCCCAGTCGCCCCCAACTCCCCTCCTCTGCTAGCCTAGTCACCCCTACTGCTCTCCCATGCAGGCTTGATTGCCCCCAACTGCCCTCCCTTGCAGGCCTGGTCCCTCCCAACTGCCCTCCCCTGCTGGCCATCTTGTGTCCATGTGGGGGCAGCCATCTTGTTTTTTGGAATGATGGTCAATTTGCATATTATTCTTTTATTAGATAGGATTACTTTTTAATTTTGGTAAAGTTTAGCATCTATATATTTTCTGTAACTATTGGTTGTACTTTGTCTATAGTTTGATTTAAAGAATTAGAAATCAATAAACAGCATTTATATTATAAATGTTATCTAATGATCATATAATGTGATTAGGACTATAAAAAATGAAATATAGCCAAAACCGGTTAGAGCATCGGTCTGCGGACTGAAGGTTCCCGGGTTCGATTCCGGTCAAGGGCATGTACCTTGGTTGCGGGCAAATCCCCAGTGGGGAGTGTGCAGGAGGCGGCTGATCGATGATGATTCTCTCTCATCGATGTTTCTAACTCTCTATACCTCTCTCTTCCTCTCTGTGAAAAACCAATAAAATATATTAGAAAAAAAAAGAAATATAATTCTCTGTCATTTATACTTTGTTATTTGAAGGAGACTTCTTCCAGGTGTTACTGTCAAATGGATTCTTTGGCTTCTTTTAAGTGCTCATTGCTTCATCTTGATCAAACTTACCTGCCATTGTTTTTGGTGTCCTAAAATTCCACCCTCCCTGAAATGTTTCTATGACTGATATTTTAAAATATGTTGCATGAGAGACGTGTGTGTGTGTTTGTGTGTGTGTGTGTGTGTGTGTGTGTGTGTGTGTGTGTGTGTATGTATGTGTGTCTTTTGGGTGATGGGAGCACGATGCAGTGTGAGATGATGTTTCGCCCAGTTGTACACTTGAAACCTGTATTGTTTTGTGAACCATGTCACCCGGGTAATTTCAGTTTTTAAAGACCCACTAAATGCCTGTCATGTGGGAGACTGGGGTTCGATTCCCCTACGGGGAGCCCCCAAAAAAACAAACAAACCATTAAACTGGGTAGTTTAAATGGCTGAACTTTTGAATACGTGAAACATGTTTTGTTTTTTATAAAAAGCAATACCATGTTGAAATAATAGTTTTTTAATGTCCAAATATGTCTTTACTTTCCTTCACACTTGATTAAGTACATACGGTAGGATCATTTTGAGTTAATTTTTGTATATTGTATTAAGAAGGGTCCAGCTTCAGTATTTTTAAAAAAATAATATTTTATTGATTTTTTACAGAGAGGAAAGGAGAGGGATAGAGAGCCAGAAACATCAATGAGACAGAACTATCGATCAACTGCCTCCTGCACACCCCTCACTGGGGATGTGCCCGCAACCCACATATATGCCCTTGACCGGAATTGAACCCGGGACCTTTCAGTCCGCAGGCCGACACTCTATCCACTGAGCCAAACTGGTTTCGGCCAGCTTCAGTATTTTGTATGTGGAGATCCAGTTGTTCCAGCACCACTTGTCATTTTTTGTTGTTATTACAAATGGAATTATTTTCTTAATTTACTTTTAAGATTTTTTTCTTGCTAGTGTATAGAAATAGAACTGTTTTTTTTTGGGTGTTACATTCTACAAGTTTGCGGAGTTTGTTAGCTCTGACAGCTTTGGGTGTGTGATTTGGGATTTTCTATATAGAATATAAGATCATATCATCTGTGAATAGAGATAGTTTTCTTTCATTTCCTGTTTTTCTTATCTATTAAGTTTTCATTTCACACTTTCATCTCTGTCCCTTTGCTTTCTGTACTGGGAGAATTCCTCAATTTTTAAGCTGTTTCCCATGTCCTATTCAGCTATTTTTTAATGTCGACGATTATGTTTTTAATTTCTAGTCATTGTAGGTCATTGTTTTTTCTTTTTTTCTTTTTGTTAAATATATTTTATTGATTTTTTACAGAGAGTAATGGAGTGGAATAGAGAGTTAGAAACATAGATGAAAGAGAAACATCGATCAGCTGCCTCCTGCACACTCCCTCCTGGGTATGTGCCCGTAACCAAGGTGCATGCCCTTGACCAGAATTGAACCTGGGACCCTTGAGTCCCCAGGCCAATGCTCTATCCCTTGAGCCAGACTGGTTAGGGCTGTTTTTTCTTATCGATGCTGTAGATTCACACATCTCTTGAAGATATTAGTCTTATTTTATGTTACTAACGCTAGTTCCTTGGCTATTCTTCTGCTTGTTAAGTGTTTTTTTTTTATTGTGTTGATTTCCCATAAGTGTTTGGTGATTGATTCTTAGTTGTGTACTCATCTTTTCCTTTTCCCCTATTGCATGTCTTGTTGGTCGCCTCATAAATACTACTCATCATTATTGTAGCCTGCCTCCAGTACGTTGGAGGAAGGCATGGGCCATGCTTCCTGGCATTGGATTGCTGTTTCTTTGCTGCCTAGAGCAGCGGTCGCCAACCGGTGGTCCACGGACCACTGCTGGTCCGTGAGGTCCGAAAGGTTGGTGCCCGCTGGCCTAGAGGGTGGCCCCGAAGACAAGCTTCCCCTTTTCCTGGATGTTGTCTCCTCCCTACACTGCTGACCTTTCTCTCGGCCGCACACATTTTCCTCTTACCACTCATTTGGGAGCAGATGCCTCCCGCTGTCTTTTGCTTGCTGTGGAGGTGGAGAGAGAAGGACCAGATCTGCCTGGCTGTTCCTTTTTTGCTACCCCAAGCACTGAGTAAGCCAAGAGCTCCGTTTCTGTGCCGTTCACATCCTAGTGGGGGAAGATGGGCCCTAAAAAGATACATAATTAAAGTAAAGGGCTCGGGAGGGCAATGTTAAAATATGTACACAGATAATAAATAAAAAATGTAAAAAAATAAAATAAAAATAAAGGGCTCTGAGAGAAAGACTCAGGATGACTCAGGTGGTCAAGGAAGGACTTGCGTTTGGCGGTGGCATTCACAGATGGAGACCTGTTTCAGGAACCAAAAGAAAGCCAGCACGTGGGAGGGTGTTATGATGTGATGCTGAAGAGGCAGAGCAGCCAGATCGCGTGGAACTTTGTCAGCGTTCTAGCCAACCGCTAATTATCTCGGTCGGCCAGGACTCTCCCACTGCCCATATCTGCCACTCGAATTTGCAGCGTTTTGTAACAGTTCCTGCATATGCCGTGGGCTGCTTTTTCCTCCTCTGATTATATATGCATATGTCTGCATCTGTTTATCCTGTGTGGCTGATAATGTGGATTGGTAAAGGAGGCTAGAACTTGTATGTGATTTACCACATCGACCCACTTATTACTTATGAAAAATCTTGTCTGTAATTTCAGTGGGATCACTGCAACACTTTCTACGTTATAATATTATTGAGAATGTTTTCCTCTTTTTTTTACAAATATATCTTTATTGATTTCAGGGAGGGAGGGAGGGAGGGAGGGAGAGAGAGAGAGAGAGAGAGAGAGAGAGAGAGAGAGAGAGAGAAATATCAATGATGAGAGAGAATCCTTGATCAGCTGCCTCCTACACGCCCCGCACTGGGGATTGAACCCACATCCTGGGCATGTGCCCTGACTGGAACTCTAACCAGGACCCTTCAGACTGCAGGCCAATGCTCTATCCACTGAGCCAAACCAGCTAGGGCTATTTTTCCTCTTCATGAAGGTAGTATTGTTACCATTCCAAATGAGATTTTGGGAAATTAACACTAATTGTTTAGAATTTTCTTTCCAATAAACTGCTAACCTGCCCCAAGTGTTAAATCTTACCCAGGACTGCAATAGACTTAGTGCCACTTAGACTGTCTTCCTTCAGACAAATGCTAAAACCCATTCCTTGAGCTTTTAAATACTCCTTTAAACTTTCTAGATTGGTATTGACCATTCTCATGTTTCCGAAAGTATTTTTGATTGCGTATATTACTTTTTGTGTTAATTATTACAGGGAACTTATTTTTAAAGTGATTATTTAGAATACAGCAGTTAACTCTAGTTTTTTTTTAGGAGAGGGATAGCAGGTCAAGAAGAGGAAAGAGTGATTTTATTGCCAGTCTTATGTTAACAGTTTTTTAAGAGCATGAATTTGAAGTAATTTTGAGATCCATTGTAAATTCCTGTGTGCTTACATAAAGTAAAAAAAATTGATTTGGTAATATTTTCCTGTAAATCTACATGTGTAGACAACAAGCATAAATAAAAATGTTCAGTTTAAGAATATAGGGTTTTGCCCTGACCAGTTTTGCTCAGTGGATAGAGCATCAGCCTGTGGTCTGAAGGGTCCCAGGTTGGAGTCCGGTCAAGGGCATGTACCTTTGGTTGCGGGCACATCCCCAGTGGAGGGTGTGCAGGAGGCAGCTGATAGATGTTTTCTCTCTTATTGATGTTTCTAGCTCTCTATCCCTCTCCCTTACTCTTCTGAAAAAATCAATAAAATATATTTTAGCCGAAACCAGGTTTTGGCTCGATGGATAGAGAGCATCGGCTTGGGGACTGAAGGGTCCCGGGTTCGATTCCGGTCAAGGGCATGTACCTTGGTTGCGGGCACATCCCCGGTGGGGGGTGTGCAAGAGGCAGCTGATCGATGACCTCTCTCATCGATATTTCTAATTCTCAACCTCTTCCCTTCCTCTCTGTACAAAATCAATAAATATATTTTTAAAATATATATAGGGTTTTGCCCAGCCAGTGTGGCTCAGTGGTTGAGCATCAACCTGTGAACCAGGAGGTCACAGTTAGTTTCCTGGTCCGGGGCACAGGCCTGGGTTGTGGGCTCGATCCCCCAGGAAGGGATGTGCAGGAGGCAGCCGATTGATGATTTTCTCTTATCGTTGAAGTTTCTGTTTCTCCCTCTCTGAAATAATTTTTTAAAACATTTTGATAATCTTAAAAAGAAAAAAATTATAGGGTTTTAGTAATCTTTTTTAGTAAATTAGTGCATACGAAGAAATAATTGCAATTTTTCAAAGTTGCTATAAGGAAAATATTCTAGAGTAGGAGATTCATATTCTGTTGTTTTATTTATCTGAAGTCTAATATATATTTCTCATTTACTGATTTTAGACAGTAAGGGGGAGAGAGAGAGGGAGACAGCCATTTGTTCCCCTTATTTATGCATTAATTGGTTGATTTTTTTATATATGCCATGACCTGGCATTGAACCCACAGCCTTGGTGGATGGGGACAACACTCTAACCAGCTGAGCTCTGCCAGTGTCTGACGTCTAATATTTTTAAAGAAAGGGGAAGGCTTCCTTCCATCAGTTGCATATTTCAGATTCTGTCTGAAATGGTGCTATTAATGCAAGTATACGTGGCATTCTGTTTTTGACTAAAGGCCCAGTGCATGCATTGGAGAGGGTTCCCTCAGCCTGGCCTGCCCCCTCTCAGAGTCCGGGAGCCCTCAGGGGCAGGAGGCGACCTGGCGATCAGGGAAAGGCGTTACCCCATCACACATCTGCTGCTGCCACTGCCGGCAGTGCAAGCCTGGGCCAGCCCTGGGCGGCTGGGCGGCTGGGCGGCTGGGCGGCTGGGGGGCTGGGGGGCTGGGGGACTCCAGAGGCAGGCATGCGGAGCGGCCAGGCCTGCATGCACTGCCATCTTGTGGCTGTGGGTGCCATCATCTTTGAGGGCAGGGCGGTAAATTAGCATATTCCCTCTTTATTAGATAGGATTACCGATTCGTCCATACAAGAAACTGCAATGGTATAACCAACTGCTACACCTTACCATTTTGATTTTTGTCTCGATCAGGAGATGTCCTCAGATGCCTCACTTCCAGGGGATCCAGAGGCCCATCCTGCTGCCGTGCCAAGCAGTGGAGCCACTCGTCTGCACACAGGAGGTGGATATTTTGGCCTAAGCTTTACTTGTCCTAGTCTCAAAAATCCTATTAGCAAGAAATCCTGGACTCGCAAATTAAAAAGCTGGGCATACAGGCTACGGCAGTCAACCAGCTTTTTCAAGAGATCAAAAGTCCGTCAAGGTAGTGTGCTTACAGTCAGGGACCTAGACTAGGTAACATCACTTTTCATTTCCTTCTGTTCGGTTTTCGGTTTTTCTTTCCTCATACCCAAACGTTGCCACTTTTTTCCACGTAGCCCATGTATGTGACACATCCCATTAATGTCATCGCCATTTGATTTTTTTTCCTTCTGTAAGTAATTTGATTTTAGAGTTTTTCATTTCATATAGATACTAAGTCGGGATAAAGCTTGCAATGTCTGGTTGAGAGTTAGGGCAACACTTTTTAATTGTCTAGCCGGAGTTAAGCTTTTTATTTTTTTTTTTTTCTGCTTTTCTTCATTTTTGGTAATGCAAACAAATTTAGCCTTCACCAATTTTCTCTTCTCTCTTTACAACTTGGCGAAACTCACAGTGGAAACGGATGAGGTGATAGCCACAGTTGCTCCTGGTCCCAATCCTTTGGCAGGAGAGTTCGCAGCTGAGAGTAGGCCTTTGAGTAGATGCAAATCGATGAGTGGACCCTTCCAGCGGGGCCGCTTCCAGGTTTGTGCTTTTCATTCAATCCTTATTTACATTAAAACGGGCAACAGCGTGAAGACGGTGTAAGATCAATGGTCGGCAAACCGGCACGCAAGCCACATGCGGTTCTTTGGCCCCTTGGGTGTGGCTCTTCCACAAAATACCACGTGTGGGCGCGCACATACAGTGGATTGAAACTTCATGGCCCATGCGCAGAAGTCGGTTTTCCGGGCCTGGGCGAGTCTGTTTTGAAAAAGTGACGTTTTAGAACACTCAAGGGGCCAAAGAGCCGCATGTTGGCTCGCGAGCCGCGGTTTGCCAACCGCTGGTGTAGATCATTGTCGTATTTAATTTGCATCCCTTCACCTTTGGAAGCCATCCAGTAAAGGGGTCCTAAAGCAATGGGGATTAATATAGGGGGATAAATAGTGATGGAAAATGAATGAGGGAATGAATGGCATCCTTAAAAAGAAAAAGAAAAAAGAAATGGATTTTAGTAGCTGGAAAGAGAACACAGCAAGGGATCATTATTTTAGGTGATGAAGCATTCATTTTATATAAAAACTGGCTGTTTGAAATTCTAACCCTGCTATTTTGGCTCCGGTAGATGCTTGCTTGCTTAAATAGTAAGGAAAATAAGGCTGCTCCATTTCAGAGAGAGGACATTAAACCTTCCCGGATGAAGTTATCAGTGCTGGCACCAGGCCAAGCCTTTGCTTGACGTCTCAAGGCCCCAACATATAGGGGCTCTTTAAGAACTTGCAAAAGGGACCGGAAAACGCCATGTTTGGGGGAGAGAGAGGGTAAAAAGGTATAAATACAGGAAACTTCCTGTGTGACTTCGCCCAGAATTCTGGAGACATTTTTCTCTGGGCCCGCGCGTAATAATGATGATGAACGTGACTCCATCTCTCCAAGCTCGGCTGGGTCACGTGTTTTCAGAAATCCCATTTCATGTCTTTTAGTACCGTGGCATCTTTAATTATGGACTTTTTTTAATTGTGAAATTTTATTTGAGCAATCAACGCCAAGGCTCTTAACCCAAGGGGACCAATTGAAGGTTTTTGAAGCCCTGGTGGGTAGGTAGCTCAGTTGGTTAGAGCCTTGTTCCCATACGCTGAGGTTGTAGGGTCAATCCCCTGTCAGAGCACGCACAAGAGTCAACCAATGAATGCATGAATAAGTGGAACAATGTCTCTCTCTCTCTCTCTCTCTCTCTCTCTCTCTCTCTCTCCCTCCCTCTCCCTCTCCCCCCCCCCCGCCCATGAATGCATGAATAAGTGGAACAATGTCTCTCTCTCTCTCTCTCTCTCTCTCTCTCTCTCTCTCTCCCTCCCTCCCCTCTCCCCCCCCGCCATGAATGCATGAATAAGTGGAACAATGTCTCTCTCTCTCTCTCCTCTCTCTCTCTCTCTCTCTCTTCTCTCTCTCTCTCTCTCCTCCCCCCCCGCCCATGAATGCATGAATAAGTGGAACAATATTTATCCCCCCCCATGAATGCATGAATAAGTGGAACAATGTCTCTCTCTCCTTCTCCCTCTTTCTCTCTCTCTCTCTCTCAACCAATGAATGCATGAATAAAGTGGAACAATGTCTGTCTCTCTCTCTCTCTCTCTCTCTCTCTCTCCCTCTCCCTCTCCCCCCCCCCCCGCCCATGAATGCGTGAATAAGTGGAACAATGTCTCTCTCTCTCTCTCTCTCTCTCTCCTCTCTCTCCCTCTCCCCCCCCCCCCCCCGCCCATGAATGCATGAATAAGTGGAACAATGTCTCTCTCTCCTTCTCCCTCTTTCTCTCTCTCTCTCTCCTCTCTCTCTCTCTCTCTCTCTCTCTCAACCAATGAATGCATGAATAAGTGGAACAATGTCTCTCTCTCCCTCCCTTCCTCTCTCTCTCTCTCTCTCTCTCTCTCTCTCTCCCCCCCTAATGAATGCATGAATAAGTAGAACAATATTTCTCCCCCCCATGAATGAATGAATAAGTGGAACAATGTCTGTCTGTCTGTCTCTCTCTCCTCCCCCCCCCCATGAATGCATGAATAAGTGGAACAAAGTCTCTCTCTCTCTCTCTCTCTTTTCTCTCTCTCTCTCTCTCTCTCTCTCTCTCTCTCTCTCTCTCTCTCTCTCTCCCAATGAATGCATGAATAAGTGGAACAATGTTTTCTCACTCCTCCTCCTTCTTCCCTCCCTCCTCCCCCCTCCTTCCTTCCATCTCTCCTACCCCCCTTTGTCTCTTTAAAATCAACAAATAACAAAATTAAATAGAAAGACTCCCAATATGGGGAGCTGCATGGGGTGTTAAAGCTTTGGTATTATCAATGTGTACATCACAAGCAGAGCAGCCGCTTGTCTGCGCCACATGTTGATCCTGAATCTCTCTGTGTGTTTGCTCTTGAGCCACTCTTGCCTTTTTGTGTCTCAGGTGATCACAGTCCCTCAGTCGGAGAAAGTGGCAGGTACGGGAGCCAGACACCGCCCAGCCTTCAGCGACAGGCCAAGCCATTCCAGCGGAGAAGCCCCGGCCTTCGCTGCCACAGCCAGGGCGCAGGTAGTAGGAGTAGAGCCCGCCACGCACCGTCCCGAGACTGCATTCTCTCCCCAGAGCCTGGAAGCTCTCCATGGAACCTTCCAGAAAGGTAAACCAGTTCCCAAACCGGGAGACAGTTCATCGGAGAAGGAACTGGAAGGAAACTCGGCTACGGGAAGTAGCATGCAGTCTGGCTCCGAACTGCGGCTCAAAGGGAGAGAGAAACAGTTGTGCTCTGCAGCCGCGCTTCCTGGCAGAGGGCACTCGGTGGCGGGGAGTCATCCGGGGAGCGATCAGTGCCTACGGCGGGAAGGAAAAGCCCTTGCTCAGGCAGAGAGCTCTCTTTTCTACTCACCATCTTCACCGATGAGCAGCGATAATGAGTCCGAACTAGAGGATGAGGACTTGAAGGTGGAGCTTCAGAAATTACGAGAAAAGTAAGAACTGTTTCTCTTCTCTCACCTAGCTAGTTGCCCTGGGTTTAGCTCTGGTGCGTGTGTTTGTTTAAAAATATATATATATTTTTAATATATTTTATTGATTTTGTACAGAGAGGAAGGGAGAGAGATAGAGAGTTAGAAACATCGATGAGAGAGAGTCATCGATCAGCTGCCTCTTGCACACCCCCTACTGGGGATATGCCCGCAACCAAGGTACGTGCCCTTGACCGGAATCGAACCCGGGACCTTTCAGTCCCCAAGCCGACGCTCTATCCATTGAGCCAAACCGGTTTCGGCTAAAAATATTTTTTTTATTGACTTCAGAGAGGAAGGAAGGGAGCGGGAGAAAGAGATAGCAGCATCATTGATGAATCATAGATCAGCTTCCTCCTGCACACCCCCAACTGCGGATTGAGCCCACAACCCAGGCATGTGCCCTGACTGAAATCAGACAGGTACCCTTCAGTCGCAGGCTGACACTGTATCCACTGGGCCAAACCAGCTAGGGTGCCCTGGGTTTTATAGAACTGTTAGGTTGCTAACTAATTTAGGACTGATGGCATTTTAAATATATCTATATCTATCTATCTGTATGAATGTATGTATGTATGTATGTATGTATGTGGGACATTGATCTGCTGCTTCTTGCATGCCCCATACTGGAGACTGAGCCCACAATCCGGGCATGTGCCCTGACTAGGAATTGAACCATGAATTCCTGGTTCATAGGTCGACACTCAACCAGTGAGCCACACTAGCCGGGCAGGACTGATGACATTGTAATGGTTGAAAACTTTTTTTATGATTGAAATCTACAAAGACAGCATCAGATCCCATTGGTTATGAACTCAGTCCTACATGACTGCCCCCCCCCCAGATGCCAATCACAAGTCCAGGTGGTATTACCTATGCTTCTGATTAGCAGCTGGAGGTTCCCTCCAAAGGATGCAACTCAAGAACAGCCAAATGGCAAGGTCTGGGGGAAGGAACACGGAACTTCCATGCACGCTCATGAGTGCCACTCCGACCAACCTGGAAACTCTCCGGACCTTTAATACAGAAATTTTTATGGAATCTTCATTGAGAGAGGTGTGACTGAGTAAATCATTAACCATTGGTGATTAATTTAATCCCCAGCCGCACCCCTCACCAGAGGTTGGGGGGAGGAGCTGAAAATCCTCAACCTGTCATCACTCAGCTGGTTCCCCTGGGAATTTTACACGTCACTTGATTGACCTAGACACCACCTTTATAATTCTGGAACTATTTGAAGATACAAGACCAAATATAAAACAAACGATTCTTCCATTGCTCTTATCACTTAGGAAATTACAAAAATCCATCTCCTATTTCTCACGCCCTAATATAATTTCTCAACCACTGTGACCTGTTTCATTTACAAATACATAGTTTTTTTGCTTTTGACAAGTGTTATATGATACACATGCTGCAATTTTCACTTAACTTTGTCACCTGTGAATATTCATGTTTGCACAAATAATCTGTATTCCATACACTGAAATAGCTTGTTACCATTGAAAGTTTATTTAATCTCCTTAATGGACATTTCCGTTTTATCCCGTATTTTGCTTGAAGTGAACATCCTTATTTGTTATACAGTTATGCAAGTGTTTTTTGTAGGATCAATACCTAAAAGTAGAATTGCTAGATTAAAACATATGGCCATTTTTAATTCCATAGATATTGCTATTATCAAATGTGGCTATACCGTTTTGTGCAGCAAACAAAAATATATGAAAGTGCCTTTTTACCACTTCTTAACAACATTGGGCTGGACATTGTTGATCCTTTTAGTTTTATTCCAGATGAATTCATTTTTAAAAAATTGTATTATCTTAACTAAAAGTGAGGATGTGCATCACCTCATTTATTGGTTATTTGATTTATTTTTCTTTGGAGTCACCTTTTCATTTTCGTTCCCTCTTTTCTAAAAGATAGTTTCTTTTTTTTTTCCTTACTGATTTTTAGGAATTATTTACATATTCTAAATATTAATCTTTTCTATATAATGCAGAAACTTTTTTTTCTTGTTTATTCCTGCATCGTATAATAGAGAAAAAATTGATATTATCAATGCTCTGTGACTTTCACACTTTGTTTTGCTGTTTTTCACTATATTGAAGTTTTAGAAATTTATTCCTGTCAGTTTGTTGTCCTTTCTTCTTTATGTCTGATTAGTTTTATGGTATACTTAAGAAGACATTTCCCATTTTAAAACTGTGAAAACATTCTGTATTTCCACATTCTTTTTAAAAAAATATATTTTACTGATTTTTTACAGAGAGGAAGGAAGAGGGAGAGAGAGTCAGAAGCATGGATGAGAGAGAAACATCAATGAGCTGCCTCCGGCACACCTCCTACTGGGGTTGTGCTCGCAACCAAGGTACATGCCCTTGACCAGAATCAAACCTGGGATCCTTGTGTCCACAGGCCAACGCTCTCTCCACTGAGCCACACCAGCTAGGGCTATATCCACATTCTTAATCTAAATTCCTTGTGAAACTTCACTTGTACTGGTGTGACATTTTTTAGCTCATCCTTATGGAACCAGCACCATTCATACGCTTTCTGCCTCATTTTTATGTAGACATATTCGGGAGGTGATAACTCTTCAGACCCAGCAGAATAAGGAGCTGCAGGAGCTCTATGATCGCCTCCAGGCCATCAGAGATAGCAAACCCCAGTCAATGGAGGTTCCTCTTCCGTCCGCATCCCCACTGCGCCGGCCAAGATCTCTCAGAAACAAACTTCGAAGCCGCCCCCAGTCCTTGACCCAAGTGGACAGTGACTCAGCTGCCCCAGGTACATCGACTCTAAAAGTGGTTTTTCAAAAATGCGCCAATGATCAGCAGAAGGAGAAAAACAATGACCATGTATTTTTTATTAACCTACGATAATTTGAAAATGTGCACATTCTGAGATTCTTTTCTACCTTTTTTGGTGTTCTTTTTTTTTTTGAATAATATATTTTATTGATTTTTTTGATAGAGAGGAAGGGAGAGGGATAGAGAGCCAGAAATGTCGATGAGAGAGAATCCACCAGCTGCCTCTTGCACACCCCCACCGGGGATGTGCCTGCAACCAATGTACATGTCCCTGACCGGAATCGAACCTGGGACCCCTCAGTCTGCAGACCGACGCTCTATCCACTGAGCCAAACCGGTTTCGGCAATGTGTTCAGTGTTCTTTTATGAAATAATGATGAGGATAAATGAGAGATTTGGGAGAGCAGATGAATGTATTTCATGTTTTTATTTGGAAAATAAATACCTGAGGTCTCAATTTCAGTCCCCAAGTACTTTTTATTTTTTATTTTTTTATTTTTAATAAATTTTATTGATTTTTTTACAGAGAGAAAGGAAAAGGGATAGAGAGTTCAAAATATTGATGAGAGAGAAACATCGGCCAGCTGCCTCTTGCACACTCCCTACCGGGGATGTGCCCGCAACCAAGGTACATGCCCTTGACCGGAATCAAACCCCGGACCTTTCAGTCCGCAGACCGACGCTCTATCCACTGAGCCAAACCGGATTCAGCCCCAAGTACTTTTTGAAATTTTAGCAATTAATGGGAACTGCTGGTCTACATTTAGTTTGTTGTTTGTTGGCAACAAAGATAATCTTAAAAATATAGTCATGTACTATATGATACAAGATCTTTATTATTTATGAGAATATTAGGAAATGTACTTGTTTTTGTTAATCCTCACTTGGCATTTTTCCCATTGGTTTTTAGAGAGCCTGGAAGAAAGGGAAAAAGAAAACGAGGAACATGAACATGAGAGACGCGTAGGTTGGTTGTCTCCAACCCCCTCCCGGCCCAGGGCTGGGGATGCAGCCAGCAACCGAGGTAAGTACCCTTGACCGCCATCAGACCCCAGACCCTTAGGTCAGAGGGCCAATACTCTACTCACTGAGTAAAACAAGCTAGGGGTGTACTTTTTTTTAAGGGTCAGTTTCTATTTAACTAATAAAGAAGTTGGCAAAGTGGAATTGAGGGTGTAGATGGAATTAAGGGTGTTCATTAGCGAATTTTATTTTATTTTATTTTATTTTTTGCTAATCCTCACCCAAGTATATTTTTTCATTGGTTTTCAGAGAGAGTGGACGGGAGGGGGAGAGACGGAGAGAGGGAGAAACATCGATGTGGAAGAGGAACATGGATTAGTTGCCTCCCGCACATTGTAGCATGGGAACAGGCCTGCAACCGAAGTACATGCCCTTGATCAGAATCGAACCTAGGACCCTTCAGTTTGCGGGCCAATGCTCTATCTACTGAGCCAAACAAACCAGGGCTCAATGAACTTTAAAACAGGGAAATTTTTGCCGAAACCGGTTTGGCTCACTGGTAGAGCGTCGATCTGTGGACTGAAAGGTCCCAGGTTCGATTCCAGTCAAGGGCATGTACATTGGTTGCAGGCACATCCCCAGTAGGGGGTGTGCAGGAGGCAGCTGGTCGATGTTTCTCTCTCATTGACGTTTCTAACTCTCTCCCTTCCTCTCTGAAATCAATAAAAATATATTTAAAAAAAAAAAAAAAAAGATAGGGAGGTTTTCCTGAGCCAAACCTGTTTCGGCTGTGATTGTTTTTTAACTCTTCTAAGTATCTCTCTGAGGATTAGGGTTGATGCTAATTTTTTAAGCGATACTACTGTTTATTATACTTGATTCATACCTAAGGTGAACATATAATTTGTGATCCAGACAAGAGGAAACGTTTGAGAACGAAAGGAGTATGGCTAGTAATTACTTCAGGACAACAGCTTTAAGCCAGAACTGCCCCAGATAAATTTACTCCGTCAATTGCATTGGTGTTCAAATAAGAGTATCGGTTCTAATTCCTTTTCATGATCTCCCTGGTTTTCCTTATAGACCCACTGGGTGTGGAGAGTAACACAGCATCGAGCCAGCAATCTCCAGCGAGTAAAAAAGGGATGTTCACGGATGATTTACACAAATTGGTAGATGACTGGACAAAGGAAACGGTTGGAAATTCTCTTATCAAGCCAAGTTTAAACCAACTTAAACAGAGTCAACACAAATTAGAGACTGAAAACTGGAGCAAAGTACATGAAGTAAGTTGTTTATACCTAATTCTCTTATAAGAATTAAAACCTAGGGTGGTGTAGCTCAGTGGTTTGAGGGTCACGCTGTACACCTAGGGGTCCTGGTCATGGAAGGGATGGGGAAGAGAGAGAAACATTGATGTGAGACACGCATATCCATCAATTGCCTTCGCATGTGCCCCAACTGGGGCGAGGGATCAAATCCAACCTGCGACCCTTTGGTGCTCAGGCCAACACTAACCATTGAGCAATACCGGCCAGGGCCTGAGATGCTTTTGAAATATCCAATTCAATCCTTTAAAAATAAAAGTCACATTATTGTTTATAAAATGCTTGTTATATAATTTAATCAATGTGGAAAAGTACAAAATTTGAAATACTGCCTTCAAATCCCACCACCCAGATAGAATTGTCACTAGCTTTAGATAAACACCATTTCAGGTATCTTTCTATGTCTGTATATGGATACATGGAAATCAAATATGATGACAGTGTAGCATGCAAATTGTCGACCTGGACTTGTCCAGGAATTTGACCAGGGGGTGGGGCCAGCTGGGGGAGGGAAGGGAGGCCCCAACCAGCAGCCGCTAGAGACCCATCAGTGCATGAATTTTGTGCACTGGGCCGCTAGTGTACCGTATGTTTAAAAAATGCAGTCATACTGTATGTGCTCTTTTGAATCAGAAGTGTTAAATTCAGTTTTACTTTAACAGAACAAAAGCACTGACATGAAGAAGGGATTGCTGAAACTTAAGCACATGTGTGAGGGTTTTTTCACCTCAAGAGATATTGTCATTTATGCTTGAGTCAAGCTCAAAAACTTGACCCTAACTTTAGCTTGAAACTTTCAGTTTAGTTGAAATGGTTTTAGCTTGACCATTCATTTTAGAAGAATTAAGCATTTGGGACTGATACTAATCTCTCCTTTGAGATTTTTTTTTTTTTTTTCAGAAATAGGTAGCCTATTTCTTTTTTTCTTTTTAAAAAAAATATATTTTATTGATATTTTATAGAGAGGAGGAAGGGAGAGAGATAGAGAGTTAGAAACATCGATGAGAGAGAGTCATCGATCAGCTGCCTCTTGCACACCCCTACTGGGGATGTGCCCTCAACCACGGTATATGGCCTTGACTGGAATCGAACCTGGGACCTTTCAGTCCACAGTCCGATGCTCTACCACTGAGCCAAACCAGTTTCGGTGCCTTTGAGAATTTTTTAAAAATATATATTTTATTGATTTTTTACAGAGAGGAAGAGAGAGATGAGAGAGTTAGAAACATCGATGAGAGAGAAACATCGACCAGCTGCCTTCTGCACACCCCCTACTGGGGATGTGCCCACAACCAATGTACATGCCCTTGATCGGAATCGAACCTGGGACCTTTCAGTCCACAGTCCGACGCTCTACCACTGAGCCAAACCAGTTTCAGTGCCTTTGAGAATTTTTTAAAAATATATATTTTATTGATTTTTTTTACAGAGAGGAATAGAGAGTTAGAAACATCGATGAGAGAGAATCATTGATCAGCTGCCTCTTGCACACCCCCTACTGGGAATGTACCCGCAACCAAGGTACATGCCCTTGACCGGAATCGAACCCGGATCCTTTCAGTCCACAGGCCGACGCTCTATCCATTGAGCCAAACCGGTTTCAGTGAGAATTATTCACTTCCATTAGACTTACTAGTCCCATGTGCATAAGATTCCAGTAATCTTTATACATAGGCTTAATCACAATACAATATGGTAAGAAGAATCAGACAGGAATATATTTCCTCAATACTGCCAAAAGCATAATTGTCTTGAGTTTATATTTCCAAAAATAGAACAGAAATTTATTTAAAAGACAGTGAGTGGAAACGGGGTAGGGAGATGACACTTATTGAGCACCTACTGTATCCCAGGCTCTTTCCCCTATGCCACACCGAATCTTGCTCCTCTGTCCTCGAAGAATCATGTAATACAGTAAGATGGGCTGTCATGTGTGGTGCCGAGTAAGAGAATGCCCAGGTCTGGCAGGAGGAAATAAAAAGAGAAGAGGAATGCCAGCATGAGGACAGGAGACACTAAACCCAACAGAGATTCCGCAGGCCCTCAGAGTTACCTGGAACATTGTTCGAACCCTCAGCTCACTAGGAATGTGCTCAGCGTGTCAGCTGTTAGCAATTTTGAGCTGCCTTTTCCACATCTGGAAATGCCTGCCTCGCAGGGCAGTTATGCAGATGAAACGGAGAAGGCATGTAACTGTGCTCAGCACACAGAACGGTGCTGCAGAAACGGTGGCCGCTCATAGCCATACGGGAGCGGCAAGCCAAAACAACAGGAAGGGGCATAGATGGACAAACGCATCTGCCAAATAAACTGACCTTTTGTTTTCCTTTTTGTTTTCGTTAGACTACTCCATCTACTCTGAGCTTCACGCCAACATGGATCACTTCTCTGCCCCAAATCCGGGCGGCTGTCCCGGCCTCCTCACCCCAAGGCCTCCCACTCTCAACGTACCCCGGGCCATTGCCAGCGTACGGAATGCCCCATGTGTGTCAGTATAATGCCGTGGGGGCGCCCGGGTACACGGTACAGTGGGTAGGAATCCCCGGACCAGGACCAGTTCCACAGCCTGTGGTCCTCCCTGCCCCGCCAGGGCCGCCGTTCCCGCCAGCAATCAACTTGCCCATGTTTCCATCGTCCTCGCTGCAGAACCACTCCACGAACCCTCCCGGCCCCAAATGAATCAGAGTAAACGCCGGCCGAAGAAAGGGGAGCTTTTCTTCCGAATTGTTTCCGGGACCCCTACGCTATAAAACTTTCTTCTCCTTGGGCTCTGCCATCTCCTCATTTGAGTTTACTTTCCACTGTATTTTTCGGGGGGGGGGGGGTCCCATGTGGTCTTTGATATAGCTCGCCGTCCTATAGGACTGTGCAGTCTGTACATAGAACACTGCGCACACAGATGTTTTTTTCACTTCAAATCCTATCCTCTTTGATACTTGATTTTTTTAAAAAATACTGTTCAGAATGCTTTAAAGGAGCTCGCCTCGAGCGTCACCATTTCCAGGACACTCACCATGAATTGCTGAGAAGCCTCCGTTTTTTTTTTTACTGCTGCCACCCGCAGCTGGATGATCCTTTTCTTTAAGATGTATAGAAACTATTTAAATCGATATCCTCCCCCCCCCCCAACGTGGACAAAGTGAGATCCTCCGACAGCCGCAGTCCTGTGGGATCCTTCACACGTCTGTCTTAGGTTTACCTCTCCCAGGAGGCAGGGTAATGCTGCAGGACATGCTTTGGTGTATAAACTTAGGATCCCTCTGGTCAACTCATGTAGAACACGAGCCCCTTTTAATGTGATTTTCTTCCCGCCTTCACAGCTCGCCTTGTTCTAGGTGAGGCGGAGAGAAAGGATGAAAACAGAACTGTAACAGTTCCTTGATTCTGCAGATAATGTAGCTGTTTTAGGATTCCCATAGTAATTCAAAGCAGCTGTCTCCTTGTTTCTCACGTGCACACCGCGTTGTTTTTGAGCATCTGAGAGGCATGGGTTTGGCTTGCATTCTTTCGCAAGGGATATAGTGCAGCTGATCTGGATCTCCCTTGGAGGGAATCTTTGGATTCCCAGCTAAGGGGATTCAAGTCACACCTCTCTTGACCCGCTCTTCGGAAGTGAAATGTACTTGACACAGTAGGTTTTGTAGGTTTCAAGACTTACACACGAAACACTGGCTATCAGGGTTCTGAGAGATGTGGGGTATCCGCTGTCCTGCAGTGAACTAGTAGGCCCTTGAAGTATACTATTTAATTGCCCTTAGCTTTTTTTTTTTTATTGCCTTTTTTTTAGTTGTTATAATTTCTAGTGAGTCTCCGTAGCCTGTTGTTTTTTAGAGCTTAGATTATTTTCGCAACCTCTTTAGAATCTGCGAGAGGTCACTGTCAAGTTGCACTTTACTGGGTTTTATCCAGTTGGAGAAGGAGGGAAGGCAATGTCAAAACATACACTTTGGGTTCTCAAAGGTTAACTATCATCATCTGAAAAGGCCGGGCAGTTACCTAATGCTCCGCCTGTGAAACCGGGGCAAATCCGGAAACGATATTTGCCGACCGCCACATAGACATGTTTCAAATACCTTTTCACCCTTGACAAGTTCAAGGTGGTTCCTAGTGCACGTTTACCTTCAGAACAAGTTCGGCCTGCCGGTAAACATTCCAAATTCTCACCCACTATTTCCATGAACAGATCTTCTTCCATATTCCACTGCAAACCTTAGCCCATGAGCCTGCCAGGTAATGAAGCAAAGTTAATGGGTATAGTTTTTTTTGTTTGTTTTGTGTGTGTTTGTTTTTTTTTGCACCGTTTACTTTGTGACATTCAGTGCCCCTTCTAAAAAGACCTCTGTCTTATACTGCCTCCCCGAGAATTGCCCTCGCCATGGGCACGGAGGGGAGCATTTTGAGAATTGCCGTTGGTAAGAGCCAAAGTTTCCTTGCCTATAACATGCTAGTTTGGATGAGTCTTCCTAAATCTTAATCTTAGGGACACATTCTTCAAATTCCTCATGCAGTATTGCTCTGCGAGTTGAAGTGATTGTAGGACGGTAGTGTGATGCAGATGTTTGCACTGCAGTGTTTACCACCTCTATAAAAACGTGCCTGAAATCTGGAATTCTTTCAGACCGCTCGTGTTGCATTAGATTTGGGTTTGTGCGATTACACTGAGGCTTAGAACCTAGAACAGCGGTCGCCAAGCTTTCAGACCTCCGGTTAGCGACCACTGACCCAGAAAGTGAAAATACTGGTTTTAAGGTCCCTTCTCCTCTAGTCAAAATCTTCTCTTTTTTTTTTTTACTTTTTAATTTTTGGAGGAAGAGAGAGTGGGAGAGACATCTCTGGGCTGCCTCCTGTATGCTCCCTGACTGCAGATGGAACCCGGGGACGTGCCCCGATCCAGACTCGAATCTGCCACCTTGCAGTGTCCAGGACAACGGTCCAACCAACTGAGCCACACCAGCCAGGGCTCCAGCCACAACCCTTTTCAACAGTGTACCTACCCCAAGATGGAAAAGCTCCGTGGAGGATATGCACAATTACCCTGCTGAATGGCTGCTCTAAATCACATGCCCCACCTTTGGCCACCACCTCTGTTTTATGTCCGATTCATCATTTGTTCGCCTGCAGACTTTTGCAGTGCCTTGTAGTATTTAGGATCTTTTCAGATTTTTTGCTGAAAAGAAAATTAGTCTTCGAAAGTTTGAAGATGGTGACTAGTGTACTGCCGCGTCCATGCTGACTGCAGTGGTTGGGTTCACATATATGTTATGTATACATTGTGTATATGTAACGTGTGTGCAAGTTTAAAAAAAAAAAAAACAGTGACTTTGTGCAGAAATGAAGAAAACAGTGTTATTCGCGTCACTGTGGGGTTTTTTATTTATTTTTTCCCATTACTTAAATGTTTGATCCAGCTTAGAGTCACTTTGTACATATTGGCTAGTTTTATATATATATAGGGGTTTTGCATTATTTCCTAACTTTTTGCTAAATCACATGATAGTGCTGTTTGCATCCTTGCTGAGGTACTTTTCCAACCCAGAAATAGTTCATTCTTGAGGTAAAGCTCAGAAGCTCTCTTCTTTCTTAACCAAGAGCCTACTGTATGTATCACAAGGGCCTTCTACCCTCGTCCCACAAACAAACCGTCCCCTTCATTTTCCTTCTCGTGGAGGAGAAAAGGGTTGTATTATGTCATCGGCTTGTGACGTCCGTTGGGAGGTAGTCTGTATGTCCAGCCGCCATGTTTACTTCTCCAAGTGCAAGTCTGACGAATAGTACTGTACCTCCACACTTGCTAATGTGAGCATCTCCGTGAATTACCTGCTGCTATGTGTGTGAAGTCGGGCATAACATCTTCAGAACATGAAACCAGTATCGGTGTAAATCTAATGGAAAATTACCCTCTGTATATCTGCAGCAGTCTTGAAGCTCTGTTTAAGGTAATTTGCTGTACTATAACCAATCTCCATCCTGTTTCTCATCCCCTTCTTGCCAGTTTTATAGCGAGCATGAATTCTCATGGTTTGACAGCAAAATTATCTGTGGAAGTTTAAAAGGCACTTTCCCGCTGCGATGTTGAGACTGAGCGTCGAGTGTTTTGAGTGGAGAATATGATGGGAATGTATCATTTGAGAACCCCAGGTTTAATTCCAGCCCAGTTGCTTTTGTTAATCTACCTCGTTTTCAGTGCTGTTTGGGGGTACACGAGTAAACACTGCCTGTGAAACTTGCTTTTTTTTTTTTTTTTTTTTGCCTTGATTCTCAGTATTCTTTCAGGTTAATAACCTAGCCTGCCTCTTTGTCCCAGCATTAACTCTTGAGTTTGTGATGCCACCGATCTGTGTTTAAGTGGCGAAAGCCACACGCATCTCTGAAATAAGCTTTGGGGGTTGCGGGGGGGGGGGGGCAGATAAAGAAATCCAGCTTGTGGCAATATCAGAATTCGTTGTAGGAATTAGCTGTCAAAGGAGCAAATGATAAGCAAGCACCCCAATGAGACAGTTCAGTGCCTGTAGCTTTGTGTCTTTCATCAGACATGCGTTTATCTGTGTTCCCAAAGGGCTATGGGTGAAACTGGTTTAACTAACTACCACAGAGAGCTTGACAAGTCCTTCAGCGGCAGCCTGTCACTCAGCATATTAGCATCTGCGAGATCATTTGCAGCGATGTTTTGTTACCAAGAAACGGCTGTAAGCTCTCATTTACATTGTAATTGGTGAGAACTTGATCCAATCGCTGAAGTTTATTGGAGACATCGACTCTCTCTGCTGTCTTTTCCAAGTGATGAAGATGATGCATTTCTTTTTCCCCAAAAAGACTCGGCAAATGTTTGTAAGCCACCTGGACCCTGCTCCACATGTTCACCGCGTGCAACACGACAGCATATGTCATGGTAACAAACACTGTCTTTCAGGCTTCGTGCACAGGTACATTCTCGAGGCATATGTGCCATCCGTTTGGGATTGCGTTTCTTTATCTTTTTGTTTCAGAAAAATGTGAGATGACATGAGGGCCATTTTCTGGAATAGACTGTTCACATTGCATTCTGTTCATTGGAGACCTGTTTCCCCACCTGATGAACCAGAAGGGGGGGGTGCATAGAAAAGACAATTAATTGATTTGGTGAATGTAATTTCTGGGATTGACATTTTAACAACAAAAAAACAAAAAAACAGACTATAAAATGGCAACAGTCAAACTTGCTCAAATCCTTTGAAGTGAAATTAGCACGAAACTTTAATAAAGCCAAATGCTTTCAGGTCACCCCGGAGGTAGTTTTACATGTGAAGGATGAACACGAACATTGGTCAAGACTTGACAGCCGACTTAGGCAGGGGGCCTGGGATAGTGACTGGGTTACACTGGAGTTATTTTTAACTGAGATTGCTACCAGAGAGTACACACCACCGGCTCCCATTCTGGAAGGTTTTCTGTTCCTTTTTAAAAAGTCCAAAAGGCTGAACGTCAAGCAAGAAGGGAAGAGAGAAACTGGGCTCTTGAGAGAAAAAAGTGCCAGTGTAAAATAAATTCCTAATTGTGTGCTTGCCATCCTTCCAGTTTGTTTGTTTGTGGTTGTTGTTGTTTTTTTTTTAAGTTGCATTTCTTTTTTCACTACATTTTAAGACTTCAGATTGAGGTTTGTGGTCCAGAACATACCTTCAGCAGAAATGGTGACTGATCAG